TAATAATAAATGAGAAAAAGGTGACTAACCCGAAATATAATTCTTATGGGTTTGGGTTAACAAATAAATGAGAAACCATTTTTTTTTTTTATCCACTTGGTATATACCATGGAGTAGGTTGTAAAAAAAAAAAAAAAAACCGACAAATGATGGTTGAGAAGTTAAATTCAAGTCAGGTACAAAAAAAAAAAAAAAAAAAAAAAAAAAAAAACTCAGAATCAGTTGCAAGCGGTCCGTCAACCGAAACGGTTTGGGACATACAAGAAATGCAGGGAGAAAAAAAATTTTTTTTTATTCATCATTTCTTACTTATTGCATATCATCGCGATTTTTATTAATATTTTGTACCTGTGACGTCATAATTTATCGTTAATAATTTAAAAAATAAGTAATTAGAAAACATTTTGACAAAGTGTTTGTGCAATATTGTGAGTGAGTTTATATTGTGTTCATCATTATTTTCAGGTATTTATTATTATTATTTGGTGATAGTATTAAAAGAATTTTTCTGCAATACCTAATAATAGGGGAAATACCTTAAAAAAATTATTTCTTTAAGGTTTGTTTAAAAAACATATGTGGTTCTTTACTTACCATTCATTTATTCATTTCATTATGTGTGAGAGAATTCTTTCTTTCTTTCTTTCTTATATTTACATAGAATACCTTGTTGTGAAAATTTTTTTTAGGTTTTGTTGACAAAAGACAGCGTGTGTGCCTGAAAAAAAAATAAAAAAGTATCATTAATAAAAAATTTTTTTTGTATACCTGATAAAAGATGATTTTTTTTTTGTTGAATGGATTAATCAATGAATATCCTTTGCAGAATGCGGAAATCAGGTTCATGACCTGAAAATCATGAGGGTTTGATGTCCTATTATGCAATAGTCAAAGTTTTTTTGGTCATTTTTTTTTGTTATATTTGTGTCTGTCTGTTTGTGTGTGTTAATGATAATAATAATTTTTTCTCTTATAAAATTGATTACAAACTGTAGTATTGTTTGTTTTGAGTTATTGAATTTTACAAAATGTAAGTTTTTGTTAAATTACATCGAACGTTTGTTCTTTAATAATCTATTTATATAAAAAAAAATTTTGTTTTGCATATGAAAAATAATAATTAAAAAACATTTTGTTTCATGTTTTTTATTTTAATGTTAAGCTTATGGATAAAATGAGAGCAGAAAGAAAAAAACTAACGGAAATGTTTTTTGACTTACATCATTTATTACTTTTATTGAGTTCTCGTTATTAACGATGATGATTGATTGGAAAATAACAAAATTTATGATGATTTAATTAGGAAATTTTTTTTTTTTTTTTAATGAAAAATACGTCGTAAATGAGTTAATAATAAAAAAACGAAACGAGATTAACCTAAAAAAAAAAAAAAAAAAATTATATTATTTTTTTTTTTTTTTTTTTTTTTTTTTTCATGTTCTCCCGTTATCCGACAATGTGTCAATCACGTAGCGCCAATGTGTCTTTTATCGGAACTAAATTTTTAATTTTGCGTGGGTGACATCTATTGTAATTTTTATTAACTAGTTAACCGTTTTTATTAAATTTATGGAAAACCCGTATTATTATTATTACATGTAAATAAATTTAGAAAAAAAAAAAATTTCATTCGAAAAAAACGTTGAAAATTTATTTTAAACATGTGAAATCACTCTCGAATAAACAATAATAATAATAATAAAAACTGCCACGCATTCGTTTATTATTTATAATTGTTAAAATTATAAAACGCCTTTTCATTTAATAATTTTTTAATTTATGACTTTTTTATAACAATTACTGACACAAGATGGTCTTTTTTTTCAAAATGAAGATTGATTCTCTCTTCATTTCCCTCATTTTAAAATATTGCGGCCCTAAAATAATATTTGATTGTTTAAGAGAGAAAAAAAAAAAGGCAAGCCGACTGTTCGGACTAAAAAACATGACGATTGCGTATTATTATCATTATTATTACATGTTTACACTTAACAAAATGTCTTGCATTAATAAAAAAAAAAAAAAAAATAATTTATATATATTTAATGATGTGAGAAAATTTTTTTTTTTGGGACAAAACCACAATTATCTTTCATTTAAGAAAAAAAAATATGCAAGTACCAGGATTTTCCTTTTTCCATTTTCCTTTTTCGAGGCCAAAACAATTTAAGTGGAAATAATTATAATCAATGTCAAGGTACAGATGGTTAGAAAATGCGTTGTTGTTGTTGTTTCAGGTAAAATCCTCCATTTAAAGAAACTTGTATAAATAATGTAAATGATGATGATAAGACGCGTACGTACTAATTAATTTCGTGGAAGAAGAATTTGCCAAAAAAGTGTAAATAAAACTAGAAGGCGGTGAACGTTCGAAACAAATTTAAAAAAACAAAAACGTTCGATTATTACAACGAATTTTGTTTTTTTTTTTTTATTATTATTAAATCATCATTAATTTATTCGGCAACTTTTCTCGAAACCTTTTTTTTTTTTCTCTTTGACCTTTTGAACTTTTATATATATGCGCGATCATTGAAATTTTTTTATAAAAAAAAAAAATGAATATTTTGTCGTTTGCATAATAATTTAAATAGATGGCATTGAAACCCGACCTCGGATAAGCTAAACGTTATTTTTATATATAAATTTACGTTTGAAAAAAAAAAATTTTTTTAAGGAAAATTTTTTTAGTTTTTTTCCGGGAGTTGTACAAGTTTCGTGACAAGTTTTTAACGAAAAAAAATAAAGAAAATCGTGTAATGATTTAATGATATAAAACGTTATTATTATTATTATTATTACGTAACATAACATAAAAAAAAGTATTGTGTGTGAGAGGAAAAAATTTAATATTTAACCAATGTTTATTTTTCATTTTATTAAAAGCTTCTCAGTCGTTTCTCGAACACAGAACCGTTAACATGTAACAAAAACAAAACAAAAGTAATAATAATAATAATAATAAGTTTTATTAAACGTCATCGTCGTAGTTTTTTTCTGTTGGTATTTTTCGTTTATTTATTTATTTATTTAAAAAAAAGTGAAAACACGTGACGGGGTTTTTATATATTAATTATTATTATTATTATTATTTTTGTATTAATTGGTTATTTTAATATTTTCTCTCTCTCTCTCTTTTTCTAAATAACATCTTTGCTTAATCAGTACAAGAAAAATTTGTCACGTTTTTTTTTTTTTTTTTTCAAATGATTACCTTGCTGAATTTTTTAAAAAGAAAATTTTTTTTTTTTAATCGTATAAATTCTTGTTTAGAAATTTAAATAGAAAAAAAAACGATTTTGAAATCTTTGGTTAGTATCATTATTATTATTATTATTTAAAAAAATAATTAATTAATTAATCAATCGTGACTTTTATTGTTTTTCGATAAGTTTTTATTAATTTTTTTTTTTTTAAATAAATCCTTAATATCTTTTTATTTATTTATTTATTGTAAAATAAAAATTAATTACAATAATAAATCGTGAATGGAAAATTTCGTAATTTTTTTGGTTTTTTTTTTGTGGAGGGGAAGGAGGGGGGAGGTTTGTGTAATCAAATCTTAAAACGTTTCATATCGACCACTATCAGTTTTTTTTGTTTTTGTTTAAGTAAAATTATTTAAATTGGGAAAAAAAAATGGGGAAAAGTCAAAGTAAAATAAAAAAAAAGGAAAGAAGGAGAAGTAAGTGTATTTATTATTATTATTATTATTATTATTATTATTATTATTATTATTATTATTATTATTGTTGTTGTTGTTGTTGTTGTTTGCTTTGCACGTTTGCTTACAGTTTTTTTTTTTTTTGTCTCAATTTTTACCTTTTACTAACCTCCCCAAAACGTTTTTTTTTCCCCTCCTCCTTATAAATTTATTTTCAATCATTTTCTTTTCCCCTACATTGACCTCTTCCCTTCCCCTTTCCCCCTCTTCGAATAATGATAAATATTGTTATTGAATTTAGGCTCGTATCATTTGATTGATAAGGAAAGAAAAAATCGTCGACATTTTGAAACGTTTGACATTTTCGAAAAGGTTTTTATATTTTTTTTGTATTTTGTGAAAGGAATAACATTGTCGTTGATAAAAAAAAAAAAAAAAACCTGGTTGTATATGTATTCACGTATAAATAGATAAAATTTTATTTACACGAAAAGTGATAAAAATAAATATTATTATTATTACAACAAATAAAAATCAATTTTATTATTTTTTTTTCAAGGTACGTCGTAATAATTTTTTTATTTTTTTTTTTAAAAACCTTTAAAACTCTGTAAATTTTTGATTAACGACAAAAAAAAAGAAAAAAATTTATGCCAAAGGGCCCCCTCCTCTCTCCTTTCCTTCTCTCTCTCTCTCTCCATTCCAAACCTGGAAAATACAGGTTTTAAAAAAAATGATAATAAATTACGTTAAATTTCATTGCAACTTTTATTTTTAAAAATTTAGTCATTGAAATCTCACATGATTTAGGCCTAAACTGACGTTTCGTTTAAACATTTTTTTTATTATCATTATCATTATCATTATTATTATTACAGGTAATAAAGTTAATGAATATTAAAGATTCAGGTGTTTCATGACCTAAATGACTATTATTATTATTATTATTATCTTTTTTTTTTTTTTAATGCAAATCGTGTTAATATCGTTTTATTTTTTATATCGAGTTAAACTATCATTTCGTCACACAAAAAAAAAAAAAAAAAAATGTCGTCGTGAGTTGTTTTTTTTTTAATATATTTATTTATGTGGTTTTTAGTTTTTCACGTAGTTTCACGTCATAAAATCCGCCATTTTGAAAAAAAATTAAATAAAATACGCGAGAGTGTAAATTTTAAATTATTAATAAAAAAAAAAAATTAACGATGGGAAAATTTGTTAAAAGATAATTTGGTTATTGAAAAATAATTATTATTATTATTGTTTTTTTGCAGACAACACATGGACGACAAATTCGAATTCTTCTTCGGGAGGTGCGAAAAATCTAGAAAAAAAAATGTCGCCGATAATAGAGAGAAAAAATAAACAACCACACATGGAAATAAAACAATGGCTTAAAACGTTAGAATTAAATGAATATGAAAATAAATTTGATAAATTCAATGGAGTCGAGGTTAGTGTTAACGACAGAAAAGCAGAAGACAAAAGAAAATTACCTTTCATACGTACCTTTACCACTCTCTCTCCCTCTTTCTCTCTCTCTCTCTCTCTCTCTCTCTCTCTCTCTCTCTCTCTCTTTCTCTCTCTCTCTCTCTCTCTCTCTCTCTCTCTCTCTCTCTCTCTCTCTCTCTCTCTCTCTCTTCTCTCTTTCTTGTCATTGACTCTCATTTTACATTCACATTGATTGATTAATATTTCATTGATTGATTGATTGATTGAGTGAGTGAATGACTTAATAAATATGTTTTGTTTTTTTTTTAGGATTTACTTAAATTTTCAGAAGAAACATTAAAGAACTTGGAATATTAAATTCGGCACACAGAGCAAGAATAATATCAAGTTTAACAATATTAAAACAAAAATATGATAAACTAGAAGGTAATATATTAATCAAAAAAAAAACAAAATGGCGTCATTTAAATAATAATAATAATAATAATAATAATAATAATAATAATAATAATAATAATAATTAGTTTAACATTAATAATATATATATAACATAAAATTAAAAAAAAAATCCAATGAAAATTTTTTTTTTCGATTTTAGTTAATTAGTTAAGGAAGTAATTAATTAGTGTTATTAACGTCGTGTTAATAAATGTAAAATGATAATGATAATAAATGTGGATTTTTTTGAGAAATAATAATGATAATAAATTTTGTTTTTTAGGTGAAAAATTAGAAAATAAATTACAAAGGCATAGCGTTGCAATTGAAAGTGGAAGATTAACAATTTACGATGGAGGGTAAGTTTTTTTTTTTTTTTTTTTTTTCCGGTTGCCATTTCATAAAAAAGCAGAAGAAAAAAAAGTCTGACATTTCGTTACGATAAAAAATATAAAAAAAATGTCGATGCCCACGTGGTAGTTAATAAATAAAAAGAATTTTTATTAATGACACGACATAAAAAAAATTTTATGCGTGAAAAAATAATTGATCGAATTAACATTAATAAAAAAAAAAAAAAAAAATTTGGATGCCAAACCATCGTAATCGAAAAAAATATTTCGTCTGCTTTTTTATTTATTTTATTATTATTAAACGAATATTTAATAATTAAAGAATTATTTCGTAATATTTAATATTAAATGAATTTTAATTAATGACCAATTCTTTCATTCTTTCTTCTGCTACTGCTTCTGCTATTGTTGAATGTTGAGAAAAAATGTTTTCTTTCCCGCAAAAATGGGGTTGTTGGGGGAAGGGGAAGGGAGGGGAGGGGAGGGAAAAAATGAAATAAGGGGGTTTCGTGATATTCCCTTACGTTTTTATCACAGATGTTGCTTAGCAACAACTACAACATCTCATTGTGAGGGTGAAAGATATTAAGATAAAAAAAAAAAAACTATAAATACAATACCCCTATTAACTTTTTCACTTTTTTTTCACATATAATAATAATAATAATAATAATAATGTTGAAGGTGTATATACGAATTTATTATCATTATTATTTAAATGTAACGAATCATATAATTATTCCATACCTTAAAGAAAATTTTGCATTTAAAAAAAGATGTAAAGGTAGGACCGACTTACAGACCGACCACCTAATACACAAAATAATCATCAATCATTAAAATATCAGGTTCGAAATCAGGTTTTTTTTTTTAAAAGGGGAAAGTAACGAAGAAAAATATTGTAATTAATTTTTTTAAAATATGGCGCGAGTTTCAAAAAAGTTTTTTTTAATTTAGGTATATAAAAATTATTATTTATTACATAATATGGTAGGTCAGTTTTTTTTTTTTTTTGCCCTTTGGTCCTATTTATATTGACTTTTCTCTCTCTCTCTCTCTCTCTCTCTTAGGCTTTACAAACGTGTATTACGACGATACGGTTGTAATAAATTAAAACCATATTATTATTATTATTATTTTAAAAATTCTCGGTAAAATAAGGAATGAATGACAATGACAGGAGCAACAGCATCAGCATCATCATCATCAACGGCATTTTTTGAATGAAATTCTTGGTTGGTTTTAATTAAAAACTATAATTTTTATTATACATATATATATATCCAAAGGGAATTTTTTTTTAATGTCGGCCATATTTATTTAAAACATTTTTACAAATGTTATGCACGTGATTATAAAAAAAAATCAATTGAAAATGGAATAAATATATATTATAAAATCTTGTGGGATAACGAAAAAAAATGGGTGGAAAAATTTTGAAAAATGATGATGATGATGGTGGTGGTGGTGTAAGGGAAGATTTGGGGTAAAAATGAAAAATATATATTAAAAATAAAAGGGGGTTATAATTGATTCGAGGGGGAAAAAGTAAAGTCGAGAAAAATTTTTTTAATAAAACCCCGATGTGTGACGTTCAATTCAGTCGGTTTTTAACCGTTCGTCAACGAACGTTAATTATTATTATTATTATTAAATTTTTTACTATTTATTTAAATTTGTTTAACGTTCGTATATCTTTCGTATACACGCATGTATATACAAACACGCACGCACAAAAAAAAAAAAAAAAAGTAAAAATATCGAATTTGTTTGGGTGTCTGCGCAAACCGTAAAAATGAGATCAATACAAGTCAGTGAGAGCCTCGCCTCTTGTTTGTAAAAAAAAAAAGTGTGTGTGTGTGTGCGTGCGTGCGTGTGTTTGTGTCTGTATCTAAAGGGATGGAAAATTTTGATTTGAAAATATCTAAATGTTACGATTTACAAATAAACTATTATTATTATTATAAATAAATAAATAAATATGAAAAAATTGAAAAATATTTTTTTATTCCTGGTGAGTTTTTATTATTATTATTATTATTTTACATGTACATTATATTTACCAGTTTGTTTTGATTCTGTGTCCCATTGAAACTGTTGAATTTCAAGTTTTTTATTATCATTATTATTATTATTATTATTATTATTACTAATAAAATTATATGTGAATACTCGTTTATGAGATGTTTTCACCAATTTAATAAAAATTCAAGTGAATGAAATTTTTTTGGTTTTTAGGGCTCAAGAATTTATTCTTAACGTCATACAAAGTAAAAGTTTGGGAAATATTAAAATGGTAAGTTGTTGTTCTTTTATCATTTAATTATTATTATTATTATTATTTTGGTTTTGATTATAAATTTTGGTAGGAAGCAAATCCTGAAAATGGTTTAGATCCGGCTCAACTTCGAAAAGCTTTAGAATGGGAATTAAGTTTAGATGCAAGAGATTTAAGATCTCATGCATGGTATCATGGATCCATACCTAGAACGAGAGCAGAAGAAATATTAGAATCCGATGGTGATTTTCTAGTTCGCGATTGTACATCTCAACCTGGAAATTTTGTACTTTCTACAAAATGCAAAGGACAAAATCTTCATTTTGTTATAAATAAGGTTATTCGATTATGTTTTGTTATTGTGTTATGTTATTATTATGTATTGTTGTTAACGTAATAAAAAATGTCTACAGGTTGTCCTACAGCCAGATACCGTATACGAAAGAATACAATTTCAATTTGAGGACGAAGCTTACGACACAGTTTCGGATCTAATAACGTATTATGTGGGAAGTGGAAAAGTCATTTCTTCCTTATCTGGTGCCCGCATACAAAATCCGAAAAATCGTTTGCATCCTCTTTCATTTTACGCAACTAAATATTCCGTTTATCAATCATCCGGATATTCGGTCTCGCCTCAACCATCTCCATCGAATCCATCTGGAAATTGGAAATACAATACCATCAACAACGCACAATCAAGTTTTTTGACTCTGCGACAGAAACACGACACGCCGCCAAAGTTACCAAATAAACAAAGGAGTTTGTCGCTAACCCCGTCAGAACTCAATGGAAAATTACAAATGCTTCATTGTGGAAACGATAAAAGTAATAGTGCGGATGGTGTTATACAAAATATGAATAGTAATTGTGGGAGATTTGCGACAAATTCATTACCTAGAGGAACCAAAAACAAAGACATTTTAGTTAATAACGAAAAGGGAACAACTACGCGTAATAGTAAATTATCAAGAGTAACAAGTGATCCATCATTAAGCCCTTGTTTCGAACGTCGAAACGCAACAGGAGAATCCACGGGTGGGGGGACGACGACGACGACAACGATTAATAATCCTCCGCCAAAACCAAGTCGCATACCTTCTTTACCCGGAGGTGTCGAAACGATAATTCCAAATAAAGAAAATAATAATAATTTTTATAAAGTGACCTCTTCTTCTTATCAAGCTTCCGGAAGCGATTCGGGTAACGGGTCCGGTGATTCTGCACAGAGTTCGGCAACAGGAGATTCAAACGAAGTGACAACACTCTGCGGTACGGGAGGGGGTACAATATCACGTGGAGTTATAATAAAAAATCCGAGGTATCATTACGATAAATCGAATGTTCCTAATTCGGCATCCACGTCGACGTTAAAAGGTCTCGAATTTGATCCCTCGACAGAGGAATATTTAGTTAATCTTCTTCCAAAAATCGATTTAGGTACAGCATTTGACGTTGAAAATTTTCAAACATTGCTGTTACCAACATTAGAAAATAAACCGGTTGATTCATCGACTTTACAATGTGTTAAAAATATGTTAAGAGAAAACGGGTCAAGGATTTTGGCTAATCACATGACTAGAGTGGATTTGGAAATAACAATCGGCGAAAAAACCGGAATTAAAAATTGGTCTGAATTAGGTTTAGGCATATCTTCCGGTATCGAAATGTGTTCTTTGCCACAAGGACAACAAGTCAGATTGGATATAATTGAAAGGTGAGTTTAATTGTTATGAATTTTTATTAAAAAATAGCGCGAAAAAATGGGCGGTAAAAACATTTTATTATTATTTTCGAACCTGTGTAATTATTATTATTATTTATAAAAACCTGATTTCAGAGTCGAATGTTTAAAATTATTGGTAGCTGTTACTGTACTTACCTGTAAAAATGAATCTGAAAGAGCGGAAACACTTCATAAATGGATTCAAGTTGCCATCGATATAAAAACAGCTTTAGGAAATCTTTTTGGTTTTGCCGCCATTATGTTAGGTTTATGTTTGCCACAGGTTTGTAGTTTCCTAAAAATAAAAAAAGAAAAAAAAGTTATTAATCAATTGAAATAAATAGAGAGAAAAAATTAAATTGTTAAAAAATTTTTCAGGTTCAAAGGTTGGCAGCTACGTGGCACACGTTACGTCAAAAATTTACAGACAGCGCATTTAATTACGAAGCTAAACTCAGGCCGACACTTAAAAGCATGAACGAATGCACGAATCCTCAAGCACCGAATACAACCATACCTTATTTCATACCGTTTGTACTCCTTCAAGAATTAACATTGGATGACGTTTTAGGTACGAATACCAAATTGGACGGATCTCTATCGAACGAATGTTTGGCCGTTTTCGAATCCTCATCCATGGATTCCGGCATGTCGACTATGTTTGCTCATTTAGAATCGGGAAGAAAATTTTCAACGATGCTTCCGTCCTATCGAAGAAATGCAGACATTATATTAGGAGATTCTAAAATAGACGAGTTGATAACGGACATGTTCAGAACGGAATTTCATTTGAAATTTTTATGGGGGAGTCGGGGAGCCACTGTTTCCTCTCAAGAGAGACACGCTAAATTTCATCAAGTTTTAAATGTCATGTCGGAAAAATGTGAACCGTCTGACGAAATAGGAAAAGTTTAAAACAAACAAACAAACAATAAACATTAATAATGATGATAATAATAATAATAATAATAATAATATTTATTCATGTTGTTAAATGACGGGAATTAGTTATTTAGTTATGGTATTCAAAAAAAAAATACGTGCACGGAATAAAAAAAAAAAAAAATGGCTTCTTCTTTAACCGCCATTTTACTGCTCAAACATCGCACCTGATAAAAAAAAAAAAAATTAAATAAATATTCTTATCAAAGTTTTTTTTTTTTTTTTGTTAAATACGTGATGAACATATAAATAATTGTGATAATTTTTTTTTATTTATTTATTTATACACATACACACATATTTAAATTTAAAATGCTTTTTTTTTTTTTTCGTTAGTTACGATCGTTTCCTTTTTTTTTCTAGTCTTTTAACAAAAAAAAAATATTTGCAATAATATATTTATATATATATATATTGTATATTATAAAAAAAAAAAATTTAATATTTATTATTTATAAATTCTTTTTTATTTAAATGGAAAATGCGTTTAAAAAAATTTTTAATAAAAAAAAACAAAAAAGGAAATAAACGTTACTATTAATATATATATATAAACATTTTTATAAACGAAAAAAAAAATGTTAAAAAGTTGGAAAAATAAATAATAATAAAATTTTATAATCCAAATTAAATAAATTGTTTTTCTTTTCCCCTCCCCCCCCTCTCTCTCTCTCTCTCTCTCTCTCCAAATTTATAAACATTTGTAAAAAAAAAAAAATATGGTTTATGGTTTAAACAATTTTATTTATTGACTGAAGATAGATAAATGTACGGTTTTTTTTGTTTTTTTTATTACATAATTTATCTCCATCTTGTTATTTTCACTTATTGATTCTCAACATTAACAATTATTTTTGTTCTCGTTATATTTATATATTTAAAATCGTGATAAAAAGTTATTATGTAAGATTGTAAAAGAAATAATAATATCCATTCGGATGTCGTACTGGAAATGTGAAAAAACCAACCATCATCATTTTTCGGCCATTTATTCCTTTTCTCCCGTGGGATTTGTGATTTTTTCAACGCGATCAAATAATTAATTTCGAAAGAAATAAAAAAAAAAACAATTAATATATTTAATAATATTCTTATTTCAATTAATATCCAATCCATATTATTACGAGCTATTTTCACTGATACTATAGTTTGTAAAATAAAATAAATCGTGCTAGAAAAAAAATAAATGAAAATTCCGGCAAATTGATTTATATAATAAGCGTTCCTTTCTTGAAAACATGCGACCACGAATAAACCTGTACCGGACAGGTATCCTGCGTAAACCCCAAAAAGATTCGTTTTGAATTCATTTTTCGATGCTTTTAATTTTATTAGATTATGATAAACGTGTACGAATTTCAATTGCACGACGACCATTAATATCGTGGCATCAACAACGAAACATTGAGTAAATATTGTGCTTTCCAAAGGTTCGTTTCCTAAAAGGCTCAACGTCGGAAGGAACGGATTGTTATGATCTAATAAAATCGAAAAACAATATGTTATGATTACTGATATGAAAGTTATGACAACGTAACCGACGACGACGATTCTCGCCAAACGTTCCATCTTAATAATATTCACGTAAAAATTATTATTAAACTATTTTCCATATTTTATTTTTTAAACTGTGTTATTATTATTATTGTGTTCAGCAAATTATTTCTATTCGAAATGAAACAACAAAAAACCAAAATTTCTTTTTGTTTTAATTATTAAAAATCCGATCTGGAATTCGAAATATTTTTTAGTTATGAAAACATTTCCTGTTGAAAAAAATAATAATAATTAACGGTTTAATGTTAATTAAATTTTCAAACTGGAAAATATTTTTTTTAAGTTGGCTCACTGCATTCATCAAATGTTTGTAAACAAATCAATAAAAAAATAATTTATATACATTATGTTTTCAACATAAATTAAAAACTATTTTTTAATTACCCATTAAAAATTATTTAATAATAAATAAATAAATAAAAAGGTTTAGTCACATTTCCTAGCTCTTAAATTTGATTTCTTTTTCTTTTATTACAATTCTGTTTACATGATTTTTATTATTATTATTTTAGCTTCCATACAACAATTTAAAAATGATTAATGACGTACTGTGTGAATTAATAAAAAAAAAAATGACATATTCAGTTAATAAATGTGATTTGTTTTCTCTTTCATGAAATGGTCGTTGCCAGTATTTTATTAATGTCAACTTTACTTATTTTCTTCTTTTCTACGGTAGTCACATATACAATTTCAGTGATAACAAATCATGTGAAACCTTTTATACCTAATATAAGCTACACTGGAAATGAACCTGTGGAAAGTTGTATTTTTACTGCCTCATTAAACATTGTTGGATTACTTTATGTCATTATTGTTTATGTTCGGTAGGATTATAATTATCATTATCATCACCATCATCATCATCATGTGTATTACATTAAAGTATTATTTTTGTTTTAGGTATTGTCAATATTTAGAAGAAGGTGTTATTGATAAATATTCAAAAAATCTTCAAAAACTTACTTTTTTATTTGGACTTATGGGTGCATTTGGACTTTCTATAATAGCTAGTTTTTCACAAAAATTATGTTTAATGGTTCATTCGGTCGGATTTTTAATGTGTTTTTCAGGCACTTTTCTATATATACTTTTTCAAACGTTATTTTCATTTGGTTCCATGTCGAAAGTCACTCCTGAAAGAATTAAATTATGTCGTTTGATTGTTTTCATAATAGAATGCATAATTCATTTTATTGGAACATCCCTTTGTTTTGCAATTGTGGTAACTTACGATTTTTCATCGAGAAAAGAAAATGTCACAACAACTGACAACAACTTACCGAAAAAATTAAGAAATGATTGGCTCGTTAATTTAGGCGCTGGAGTAGAATGGCTGACGCTAATTGTTAATTTAACGTTTTTCGGATTATTCTATGGAGATTTTAAAAGAATTATTATTAAAAGTGACGAAATTATTTTTCTACCATTTACGAAGTAATGATATATTACGAACGATGTTATTTCTTTTATATATAACAGAAAATTCACACTCGTACAAAAAATAAAGAATATAAAAGGTAAGTTTAAAAAAAAAAAAAAAAAATTACACATTTGAAAACTTCACACATTTCAACGATAAAATTTTTTACAGTTAATTTGGCATCGCTTATGTTTTTTTTTTTGAAAAAAAATTTAAGTTGTCAACACTGACACCGAACGAAGTAATTGTAAACAAAATGTCGGATGAATTTCAAATAGTAGGAAGAAATTTATAAATTTTTACAAATACCAATAAATGGATATTGAAAATTTTCCGGGAAATTATTTAATCATATTAATTTTGATTAATTTTTCCAATTTACAACGATTTATGACAACATTTTCTTCGTTAGTTTCATTCAGACATGTTTATTAAATAATGCTATTAAAGAGTTATGTAGGAGGAGATTGAACCGTTGAAAATTGCTTTTTCATTGGGTTTAAACTTTGAAAGGTGTTTTATTGTGTGGGATGTTCGTCGTCAGGTTTGTTGAATCAAATACACTTAATAGTACATTACAAAAAGAAAATTAAAACAATATTTGTTCGAGTATTATTTAAATTTCAATTATTTTTTAATGATATTCACTTACCTTAAATGCCTAGAATTTTCTTCAATATTTTTTCCCCTTCCAGGTACAATTAAATAAGGTATTGCTGTTTAGAAGAAAATGAACTTTTCTCGTATCGTGAATCGTAATTCCATCCTTTGGAGTCTTTCTTCTGCACTGGGTATTAGTCCAAGAATTCAATGTAATAATGATACCCAAAATGGATGCTCTTAGTTGTACTTTTGGCTGTAATAAGCAATTTTACATTAGGAAAATTAAATAGCAGAAAAGTTTATTTATAGAGAACAATATTATGCTTCAAAAGTACCTGAATACGTAACATATAAATCCAATACTTACCGCATTGTTAGATTTTTTTATCCTTTACCTGTCGAAGATATATTTCGGCGAAGAAAAATGGCGACTCGACACGTTTTGTTCTTTTCTTATTCTATGAAGAATTCAAATGTACATAAAAATAAGCAAATATGAAATAATATTTACTCAATTTTAAACCAAACGAATACATGAAAATTACGTTTTTATACAGTTTTAAAAGAAAAACTTTTTTTTAAAAAAACATTTACTATTAATAAATGTAATATATTATTATTATTATTATTATTTAATTATTTATTTTTTTATTATTATTATTAAATTTTTACAAAATAAAAATTAATAAATATTTTAAAAATTATATATTATTAATGACATGAAATAAAATATAAATATAAATTAAAAAATATTATAAAATCTTATTTTATAACAAATAAAATGAACTCATCATTACTGTTTACATCATGTAAAAAAAAAAAACAAAATTAAAAAATTTTTTAATTTTAATTTCAATTTAATTAATAATTTCAATTGGCAAAAAAAAAAAAAAAATTAATTCCGTCAAAAATTTCTTTTTTCTTTCTGCCTGTCTTTTCCTTAAAATAAATTAAAAACTAATTTAACGGTTTTTTTATAAAACAAATTTTATTATTATTATTAATCATTCGATGAAAATCAAAAAAAAAGAAAAAAAGAATATTGTATTTTATCACAGAGAGAATAATAATAATAATTAATTAATTATCATTGAAAAAAAAAAAAAAAATTATTTAACAAATAAAAAAACAAAAAAAAGATCTAAGTTTCCATATTTTGTTTGTTTTTACAAGGATATAACCTACGTAAATTATTTATTACCTTTGGCACAACTCAGTTTGAGTTTGCTTTGATTTTTTTTACACCCCGGGAAGAAGGGGGAAAAGAGAGAGAGAGAAAAAGAAAAAAGGAAAACTAAACGGAAGTTTCGGGAGTTGTTCTCGATGTATTTCCATGAGTTTCCGATTCGGTTGATGTTGCACTACAATAAAATTTTTTATGAGCAATTAGAGAGGACAAATAATTAAACGAAATATCGCAGGATTCGCAATAATTTATTTTTCTTCCTGTTTTATTATTCGATGATGATGATGTTGATGATGATGATGATATTGTCGATGATGAGGATTTAACTGTTTCTTCCACGATGTGTTCTTCCTCGTCCGGAATTCGAAATAGAGGATCGACAACATCAACTTCTACAAATTCATCTTCTACTCCGGCAGTTTCTTCTTTGACAACAACTTGAGAACTTTTACCATCGTCGGAAGTTTCGTTTGTTTGATTTTGTTGTTGTTGCTGCTGTTGTTGTTGATTTTGCTGTCGTGTTTTTTCTCCATCTTGATCCAAAATACAAGTTATAAACTTTTCTTCCTTTAAAAAAAAGTTAGTTTTTATTATCATTTATTATCATTTTTTGGATATTCGTTAATTTCATATAATTAAAACAATCGACAAACAATCGAAATGATACCTGAAAATCATTTTTTTTATCAAAATGCACTCTTATATGGGTTCTCATTCCTCTAAGTGTGTTACCCTTGTACTTGCATATCGTGCAACGAAAAGCTCGAACGCTTTGATGTGTGTCCATATGTTTCTGAGCAGCAGATGCTGTTGGACTTATTACGTCACAACATGGACATTTCCAACCTGTGACAATGGAATTGAGGCACGAACCACAATGATGATCCCCGTTAACTAAAACCTAAAAAAAATAAATATGGACGTTACGTTGATAGGTTGATAGGCAAGAGTTTCTTTTATTCTTAGTAAATACATAATATTTTACTACTACTACTACTACTACCTTGCATTTTCCACATTTTTTTAATTTCTCATCATTTGTCTTTTTCGTGCAATAGTACGTTTGATGTGTTGTGAGATTATCGAGAGAAGTGAATGAAATGCTGCATGCAACGCAAATAAATTGATATTGCATGGTTGGAGGTTTTATTGGAATCGGACTACTACTAATTCGTGTTTTTGGATTTTCCTGTGTGACAAAAATTTTTTTTATTTTTTTTAATTATTATTTACGGAATGAGATTATCAGGAGATAAGGGAGGGGGGGGTATTTAAACTTACTGTGGAAGATTCTTTTGTTGTTTGGGTTACATTCCCTGGTGATTTTGACGTAACGGGACTAGTTCTGGAATTTTCATCTGAAGCCACGTCCGGCAAACGAGATGAACAATAATGTTTCTTATGAGCTAAATAATTTTCATGTTTACAAAATACAATATTGCACTCTTGGCATTTTGAAACTCCCTGTTTGACTAAAACCTAAATATAAAAAATTTGCGTTTATTAATTTAATTCAAAATAGTAAAAACATTTTCATTTCGATAGAACGGTTACCTGTGATGGAGATTCGGTAATTGATTGACCGCCCGCTAGATTTCGCACGCCAAGATCGGTTGTGAGCAATGGCAGAGCGGAAGCCTGATTGAAAAATTCAGAGGTAGTGCCAGAAAGTAAAAGAGGAAATTGTGAGGGATTGAGAGGATAAGACAATCCCGAAGACTTTACATCCATGGAATTTTTTTTAGAAGGTTCGGAAAAACAATATTGGTAATCGGAATTTGATTCTCTTCTCCCGTCTTTAGATTTTCCACTTTCGATCGGTACACCGCCATTCAAACCGTTTGGAGTTCGTCTCGGTGATTTTTTTGGATTAGAAGATGGCGAATGATTCGGTGATGAAGTTCTAGGACGCCTTAAATCTAATTCTTTTCTATCTTCTCCATATTTTTCTGACGAAACCGCGTTACCGTGCATGACATTAACAGTCGAAGGATATTCATCGTGATCGGGATTTGTTGAAAAAACATTTTCTTTTTCATCTTCCATGTTTATAACATGGGATTCTTTGTTGTCTGAAACTTTTCTTACGCTCAAATCTAATGGAGTAGAATCCAATTTCGTTCTCGAACTTTTTGCCGGTGGAGATTCGTCTCGTACTTTTTGTTTGGCCGACGAACTATAATTTTTACCTAGATCTTTTCCATTAGTTAACTGAGAGACTAGATTTGACATGGGTTGCAACGTTCCATTAGGCATTAGTATACATGGAGAATCTTGAGATGAAAAATTTGGTGAGGTACCCGTAAATATACTGGCACTTTGAAGGAGCGAATAGGGAACTATAAGAACCGGATTCGTTCGAAGGAGCAAAAACGGTTGTTCCCCGGACTGTCCCATTTTTTTCGGACAAGAAGGTTCCGGGGAAAATATTTGTGATGCAGTGGGAGACGTGGAAGCAGAAGAATTTTTACTAGTCGGTGAAGAATTTTTCCCATATCGTGAACTACAATAATGCATTTTATGGGCTTTGAGAGTTTTGACGGAATAAAATCTTATATCGCAGTCTTGACAATATCTGTCTACGAGCGGTGAGGAATTATTTCCCGACGAATCGATTCCATTTTGGAGAGAAGAAGGCAATATTGCAGGTACAGGAAGTGGAACAGATACTTGTGAAGCGGGAGAAGATGAATGCATTCTCATGTGTCTATTTAAACTAACTTTTTTATCAGCGCTATAAGAACAATGAGGACAACTATATTGTTTTCCCGTTCGTAAAATTTTCCCAGAAACTTCACTATCGTCGTTAGCGTTGTGTGGACTTTTTGGATCATCTCCATCGCTTTCTCCCCGACCTGAAATTAATTTTTAAATATAATTCACCTGTTAAAGCACGAAATTGTTGGTTTTTCTCCACACCTCTCCGAATACATTCAACAAAAAATTACCTTTTGATTGAACCCGATGAGAACAATAATAGGTTTGATGAGCTTCTAATGTGCTCGCCGATGAAAATCGAATACCGCATGGTGTGCACATAAACACTGGAACTGGAAATGTTGAACAAGTAAATTTAAGTCAATGCCCTAAAAAATAGTATTTAACAGAGCTACAACAATTTAGTAGAAGTTTTCGGTAAAGAAAAACTTTTTTTTTTTTTTTTTTTGCTTTCTAATAATGTGCGAATGTAAAAAAAAACCATTTCACCTCCGGAACACACACACACAAAAAAGAAAAAATAAAAGAAAAGACAAGAAGAAGGGAAAAGAAAAGAAAAGAAAGATGAGAAGAGGAAAAAAGATGATGGCAAATATTTAAAAAGTTTACCTGCTCGACTTTCAATGACCACAGTTCCAGAATCTTGTTTTCTAGTCTTTGGCATGTTGAAGGCATCTTTTTCAGAGATTTGTGTTGACGGAAATAAACGATTGGCAGTTGCAAGTACTAAAAAAAAAAAAAAAAAACAAAACAAAATCATGATAATGATGATGATTATGATGATGGGAAACAAAACAATAAAAATATTATTATTATTATTATATTTACCGTGTTGAAAAGCTGATGGAACCTGAGTCAGATACTCCATTTCGATAGCAGAATGTGGTCCCTTTCCCGTTTCCGTATTATTATTATTATTATTATTATTTTCCGTTTTAACAGTCATGACATCAGATCTAAGAGCTGGATCAGTGGCTAAACTCGTATTTAATCTAAGCTTTGGAATTGGAGATTCGCAACTACTTCCCGGAGGGGACGTGGGTGGAACCGAAGGAGAACGTTCCGAATTAAAAAGATTCTTTGATCTTGTTAATGAAGAGATCGACGACGAGGAAGATGATGCAGATGAGGAAGATGATGATGAGGATGAGGACGAAGAGGACAATGATAGGGAAGACGATAATGATGACGGACAAGAAAGTAATTGAGATTCGGACGGTTTTTCAATTGTTTCTGTTGTTGTTGTTGTTGTTAAATTCTCATCCTCATCTTCACCTAAAATAAAAAAAAATTTATCAATTAGTTTTTCTTTTTTTTTAACTAAATAAAAAAAAAAAAATGAAATAATTCACAATTCAAACAACAGACCAACATTTGAAATGCGTGCTTCCTTATTATTATTATTATCATTATTATTATTATTATTGAATTTTGACATTATCTAAAATCAAAAAGTCCAAACGTGTATCAATTGTAAATTTGTACGACTATAACGACGAAGACGACGACGAAAACGACGACGGCCATTAACGTTTTATTATCGCTTTTAAGGCACTCCTTTTTTAATATTGATACAAATCTTTTTTTTCCTTTTTTTTTTTTTTTTTTTTCGGTTACCGAGTTACGACTTATAACTTTTATTATTTTTATTAATCATCATCGATTGATTTTTATTCCAAACCAAACCAAAAAAAAAAAAACCTTTTTTTTTTTTTTTTAAATAAAAATTCCACGTACAAACAACAAATTTTCAACTAACTCATGAACACCATAAACCAAATTTTAAAAAATTATCTATTTAAAAAAAAAAACAAAAAACAAAGAAAATCTTTAATCAATCTTTATATAATATATAAAATCATCATTATCAAATTTTGTAATCAGACGTTGTAGTATTATTATTATTATTATTATTATTATTATTATTTATAAAAAACCAAAAATTTATACTTTATTTATAATTATTATATTTTCATATGGTTGAGATGAGAATCAGTCAATTTAAAAAAAAAAAAAAAAAAAAAAAAAAAAAAAAAGGTTGTAACAAACAAAATCGTGATGTTTAATTTTTTTTTTTTTTTTCTTGTATATGATTGATTGGCAAACAAACGAGGGCCTTGAATCCATACCACCACCCTCACCCTACCCCCCACACCCCTTCCCGTATTTTTCACCTCGAAACAATACTAAAAGTTTCTGATCCACATTATGTTGTTTATTTAAATTCAATATTATTATTATTATTATTATTATTAATTAAATGAAACTTTTTCTCCATAAAGATCAGATAGAGAAGAGAAGAGAAAATTCTAGAATTCTTTAATTTTTTTTTTAAAAAAAAAATTATTTCACCCCATCACACAACATAATTAAAGTTTATTATAAAAAAAAAAAATTCAAAAGTGTTGGGACTAATGTTCAATGATGGTTTGTTGTTTGGTCCAGTAATTATCAACCTTTTTATCTGAATTCTCCAAAAAAAAAAAAAAGAACCTATCTCCTGTCTGGATTCAAAACATGTCTTATTGAGATAAATAAAAAAAGAAAAAAAAAAAATTTAAAACTTTAATAAATGATGAAATCTTTTCTTATTTTTTTTTTTTTTAATTGAATATTTTAATGTAGATTATAAACAGAAGAATTTCTCTTGTTTGTTTGGCATTGAATGTGATTGATTTACTTTTTTTTTTTTTTTTTTTTGTCAACGAAATTTTAATTTTGACGTTTGCTACCGCCATCACCACCGCCGCCACCACTATCACCATCACCACCACCACCACCACCACCATCACCATGACCGCCATCGCCATCACCATGACCGCCATCACCATCACTGCCACCGCCATTGCCACCACCTTTGACGTATTTTTGATTCTTATTATTAATTCATTTAAATAAAATTATTATTATTATTATTATTATTATCCTTTCATTGTTAACGATGACTTTATTATTGAAAAAAAATTTTTTTTTTTTTAATCGTCGGATTAAAATAACGATCGAATTTTTTTTTTTTTTTTTTTAATGGAAAATTTTTTTTATTAAAAAATATAGAATAAATTATTTTTGTCTTTCAAACGACACAAAATATCATCCAAAAGAGGGGAAAATCGACAAAATAAAAGAAAAAAAATCGATTTTACACAATGTTTCCGCCATTTTTAATTTAACTTAAAGAATTTCAATATAAACGATGGGAAAATAATTTTTTTTCCTTTTTTTTTTTTTGTAACCGAATGTGAAAAACAATGAATAGTTTTTTTCATTCACTCAATCTCTCTCTCTCTCTCTCTCTCTCTCTCTGTCTATCTTTTTCCTTCTTATTCTTATTTTTCTCTTCTTCCTTTTAAATGAAAAAAAAAAAAAAAAAAAAGTTATCAGGGAAAGATAAACATTTTTCTGGAGTTCATCATGGCACGTTTTTTTTTTTTTTCCGTTACTTTTTGAAGAAGTTAACGAACCGAACCATTCTTCTAAATATAAATCAATGATAAAAACCAGAAGTCATCCTTTTTGTATTTATTACCTATATATTATTCTCGCAATTTTATTTTAATTTTCAAAGATAAGCTAATGCTTACCAGATTATTTGAAAGTTCCTTTCTTTCACTTTCCTTTCTTTCTTTCTTTCTTTCCTTTTCTTTCATTTTCTTTCATTTTTTCTCCTTCTCTCTCTCTCTCTCTAACCAACAATGTTATTTCTATCTTTTTCTTTTATATTATCATCATCATTATTATTATTCTCTCTCTCTCTCTCTCGCTTCCCGTCATTTTTTAATCCCCGAACAACATTACTGATAACAAACCAACTCCATCTTTTTACATATATATATATATAAATACATTAGACTTTTTTGTTGTTGTTGTTGTCTTTCATTCAAAAAATAAGAGACAGATATGCGTTAAAAAAAAAAAAAAAAAATTCACGCACACACGCTCGTACATAATTTATTTATTTATTTATTAATAATAACGGCTTAGATTTTTTACACACCAAAAAAATAAATAAATAAAACTTTATCAACCCTTAGTTTTGTAAAATTACAATTAAAAAAAGGTAAAAAAAAAAAAGGAGAAAAGTTGAAAAAGGTCAAAATTTAACATAATTACCATCGAATAATAATAATAATAATAATAATCGTAAAATAATTTTTTACCATCGTTTTTTTGTTGTAAAAAAATCCAAATAAAATAAAAAATAAAAAAAAATAACTGAAAATATTTTATTTTATTTCTCCCCTTTCTTCCTCCCTCTCTCCCTTCCCAAAATAAATAATGACCTTTTATCATCTGCTTTTTTCCCTTTTGTCAATACAATCAAAAACATTCATTGTAAATTTACAAAAAAAAAAAAAAAAAAAAATTTCTTTAAAAATAAATAATATCACACTATCAATTGTTAAGGGGTGTATCATTATTACCTTATTTAAACGTTTATCCCCTCTCCTCTCTCTCTCTCTCTCTCTCTCTCTCTCTCTCACGTGTGTGTGCGTGTGTGATGCTTTCGTGCGTTCGTGCGTGAAAGTATATTTATATACACGTACGT